AGAATTATCCAGTAGAAGAAATAGATAATGTCTTAGGAACTAAACCCAAATTAATCAATGACATGACCAAAAGTTGAATTTCAAAAAACATAAGTACGTTTTACTGGAGATTAGGAATTCAGCCAAAATAAGGTTTTGAAAATTTATTTTTATTTTGGCATTGTGAAAATGATTTACAATAAATATACGTATATATATATATATATATATATATGTATTTTTTTTTAATTTGGAAACTAGAAAAAGGTCTATTTAAGCCTAATTAGATATCTCTTTGAAATTATATAAATCAAAGGGAGGTACGCTTTAAATCAGTCTTATGCTTGCAGTACATCCAATTACGTTGAAATAAAAGTTTTGAATCATATACTGGGCCTAAGCTTTTTTTTGCGAAAACCAGGATGACAGCAGCTGACAAAATATTTCCGATCTGATGTCAAGGATTACAGGTAGCTATTAATTAAGGACACTTTTCACGATGTAAACCAAATGTATACCAAACAAGAAAACTAAAATCCACTTTTCATTGTTATTATTCTAGATTAATTTCGTTGAACAATATTATTTAAATGTTAAAAACATCATTTAAACTTCTTGGAGAATATTCCGACAATATTCTGATTATCTTTATATATGGATTGAGGCCTAGGCTAAATCTCTTCGAGTAACCGAATTCTTGTGAGGTATTATTGGAATTATGGCCGAAGTTACCCAGGTCTTGAAATTGTCTAATCTAACGAAGAAACGTTTTAAAACGTCAGGCTACTTACTGCGTTACAGTATTTAAGTTAGGAATAAACATTGTACTGTGATGTGTGTCCCCCGGAATCTTTACGGACTTAAAACGCTACAATCCGAGGTTCGGTTCCCCGCGGTGGACACAGCAGATAGCCCAATGTGGCTTTGCTCTAAAATATCCAACGAAACAACTGTAATATATTTTTATTTCAACTAAAAAGGTGAGATCTTGATAAAATATATATATATATATATATATTCACAATGAGGTACATGAAATAGTCAAAACTAAAACGTTCAAAAACAAACGCAAGTGGTATTTTTCGACGACATAAACACTTATTACTAAACCAAACGTCGTGTGTTAGAACTGATATTATAGAATATTGCCTAATATTTTAATTATGCAGGTTTCAATTACGCGAAACTGTAAACAGTGAAGTGCACGTGAAGCCACAAAAATCGAGATTTGCGAATGATGCAGGCTGGTTTGGGAATGATAATTATTTAAGATTTTTTTTTTAGATCTTAGATGTCAATTCTCTTAACACAACTCTCATCATCTAGAGGCACCGCTCTGTTAAAAACCATCAAAGTATTTTTAAAATGCGGAAAATGTGTTGCTCGCCGAATCCAGGTCTCCATCGCCAAATCGTTGATAAAGCCTCGTTTTGCCATCTTGGCTTTGATGTAATTGTTGTCTCGACAATTGACGTGGTAATGGCCTTCTTGTCCTGGTATAGCCCAGGATAATATTACACCTGTAAAAATACAAAAATACGCCACAGTAAAGCTAGCGTTTTAGGAAAATTTTCAGAATCTGTCTTTATGTGTTTCTTGGTTAAGTTTATATTCCTTCGACGTATTCTTTGTACATGAGCAATTTCAAATAAATGGCACAGGTTTAACAGTTTTTGTTTTCAAACTTTAAATCTCTTTCAGAGCTTATCATCAGACCAAACTTTCAATCTGTTTCAGAGCTCATCATGAGGCCAAACTTTCAATCTGTTTCAGAGCTTATCATCAGGCCAAACTTTCAATCTGTTTCAGAGATCATCATCAGGCCAAACTTTCAATCTGTTTCAGAGATCATCATCAGGCCAAACTTTCAATGTGTTTCAGAGATCATCATCAGGCCAAACTTTCAATCTGTTTCAGAGATCATCATCAGGCCAAACTTTCAATGTATTTCAGAGCTCATCATCAGGCCAAACTTTCAATCTGTTTCAGAGATCATCATCAGGCCAGATGTTCAATATATCTTATTATATTCTAAGCCTTGTTTACCACCTGATGAGAAGCTCTTAAGAGTTTGAAAGTTTATGGTCAAAGACTAAATTAAAAAAAACAACCAGCTTATTATGTTGCATATGGTTTAGTTTAGATTCTATTTTGTTAGAAAAAGTTTTCATTACGTTGTTAAAATTATAGTTCCAAATATATTTATCTTCGTTTGAATGCTATATGGACACAACATTAACGTCCCGATTGAACCTTATCTATTCGTACCTATTTCAGTCTGTACAAAAGCTGAATTTATTTTGCAATTGCATATTTTTATTGATTGTAACCAGAATAAATGTCTAACAAAAGAGATGCTTTTCCAAGAATACCGTATTTGGTGGAGAAATAGTGAAACTTATGCCAAATGTATTGGGCAAGGCATAGCGCAGTGATTGGCATGCTGGAACTGTGAATCCGATGATTAAGTGTCTAACAAAAGAGATGCTTTTCCAAGAATACCGTATTTGGAGGGGAAATAGAGTGAAACTTAGGCCAAATGGCCCAGTAACTGGCATGTTGGAACTGTGAATCCGATGATTCATGGTTCGCGACCCGAGCGAGACGCTTAAATACCACTATTCGATCAAACAAGAGTAGCCAAAGAATCGGCGGTGTGTGCTGTCGAGTAAACGCCTTCCTTCTGGCCCACGAGTTCAAAATTAGGGACGGCCATCTTTGAAAGTCAATGTGTAGCTTTTAGCGAAAGTTTGAAACAAACAAACCAGGTTTGGGTGTCATCATTCTAAAAACCCAAAGGAATTACCGCGACAACTCAGAAACGAATTATTTATCTAGGTTAGTTGTCTTTGACGTTTTGTTTCGGTGAGTTACGATAGAATTAGCTTTTTAGCATTTTTTTTTTAGCAAAATAATAATCTCCACGTCAGAAATTATTTTTGGTTAAATTAAAGCACTTTTTAAAAGTGTTTGGAGCTCCAGTATATGAAGTGTTTGGAGCTCCAG